TAACAAATAACCGTTTAATACGGTGGGCCACGAATATTTTATATTTTATAATGATAGAATCATCATTCCTGATAACCTAAAAAAAGAGGTTTTGAATGTTATCCATCTAGGACATCCGAGGATAGTGGGGATAAAATCCTTATGCCGATACTATGTCTTCTGGACAAATCTTGACCGAGATGTTGAAAAATTCGTAAAAAACTGCAAAAGTTGTCAGGAAGGAAAACCGGGAGCCAGAGATGTATCATTATACAACTGGAATATTCCTACCCGACCTTGGGAAAGAATACACATTGATTTGACAGGCCCCGTGTCTGGAAAGTACTGGTTAATTTGCGTAGACGTTTTCACCAAATGAGTTGAAGTTGCAATTTTAACACATATCAATTCGACGAGTGTAATAAATAATCTGCGTAATTATTTCGCTAGATTTGGTTTACCTCGTTACATTTATCAGAAAACGGTACTCAGTTTACTGGATCTGAATTCAAAACGTTTCTTTTTAAAAATAATATAAAGCATTTTAGATCGGCCCCTTATAGCCCCAAGTCGAATGGTTTGGCTGAGCGCTATATACGTACGATAAAGACGCGTTTCTATGCTGGAAGGAGAAGTGGGACTCCGGACCAGTTAAATTAAGCGAATGTTTTAATTACACACCGAAATACTCCAAACGCAACTACCGGTAAATCCCCTGCCGAAATGATGTTTGGAAGGCCGCTCAGGACGACGTTAGATCATGGAAATTATCTACGAGAGAAAGGACTGAAAACGAGGTAGAGACCTGTGTAGTCAAAGAACAAAATTTTCGTGAGGGTTTTCCGTTAAGGAAATCGACACTAGAAAATTCTAATGTTAGAAAAATTTCTTGTATCAACACGAATAAATTGGAGGTTCCACAATCGAATTATGGTAAATCCCGTTTGTGTTTTAAATGTAACAAACCGGGACATGTAGCCATAAATTGTACCGAAAATTGACTATATGATTGCAAGTGTAATCATATATTAAGTAGGAGATCGGGAGGTAGAAATAGTAATAAGGTAAATAACCATGCTGAAATGAGATATGATTCTCGTAAAAGCCGTGGTTTTAACATAAATTTTTTTTATCTGATGAGAAAAATAAAAATAATGAAGATTCTAATAATTTTAAATGGGAGAAATATCCTAAGGGTATTGTTAAATATTCCCATAAAAGGGATGTTAATACTTTCAGATGGGAAAAATATCCCAGTGATATTGCAAAAAATATATAAATATTGTTAATGAACCATTAAATTCCGAGTTAAATGGGAATTCTCATGAAATTAATGTTTTAAATGAGATAAATATTGATCAGTCAATTAAAACATATGAGATTTAATGACTGAGAGATTAGTCGAACCTTGTCCTTGTCCAAGAGTTCGTAAGAGTTGACTCGAGGGACATCGACATGTTGTTCGACACAGGGGCTAGCATTTCCATAATGTCTAGAAGAAATTATTATAAGTATTGGCCTGGGGGTAAAATTGAAAAAGAATCTATGTGTGTCAGACAATTTGATGGGTCTGAAATTGTAGTTTTGGGAAAAACTAAGTTAGAGTAATTCTCCATGATACCACATTTTTCCTAGATTTATGGGTAGTGAAGAAAGATGTGGAAACCCATGGGGTGGGATTGGATTGTTCAGTTAAGTCCTTTCAATAATTATTAGAATATTTTTGCCATACATAATGGTTCGGCCCTAAATGAGACTAAAAACAAAAATATTGCTAATAATGCTCGAAAAAAAGTTTATGAAATAGAAGGGACGGATTTAACTAAAATTCAACCCTTAATTCTGATAGATATGTAAATTCCACGGAATTAATGGTTGAGGACAATATTAGCATTAATGGAAACCCAATGGTTGCTAATAGTAATGAATTACATAAAATGCGTGAAGATATATCTCTTTTAATGAATAAATATTAAATAATTTTCGAAGACAAGTTAGGATGTCTTAATGATTATCAAGTGGGAGTAAAGTTAGGGGTAAAGTTTTCAGTGGGCCAGGTTTAGACCAGATTGTTTGACAATCGGGGAAGGAAAAGGGAGAGGTTCGAAATTAAGTGAAATTTTGTTAATAACCGGGTACTGTGATCCGTCATCACGATCACAATAAATTGGGGTAAAAGAAAGGGTAAATATTATGAGAAGCAGCGTCTGCATGACAGGATTTTCACTGGGTGCAAACCCCCTTCAAAAACCTTTGCCTACCCCCCTAAAAAATTCCCGCCGCCTTCGGCGGCGATGTCTCTTTATCATTATTTTCACCTATTTATTTATTGATACTCATTTCGAATAATTTATAAAGGATAACTTAAATTAATCTAACTCTACTACTAACTATCGATATTTTGTGAATATAAAGAATTTATTTTTTAGATAATAAATTTAATTAAAACCTCCATTATTTACAATGATTTAATTATTATGGCATTTTGAGCTTGCTGAAATATCTAAACCTTTTAAATTATATTTAAAAGGATAGTTTATTTGGAAAACAATGTGTATGATTGTTTGCAATATATAGATTTGGTCGATGAATTGTATTATAATAATACTATAATAAAAGTATTAATTTTTACAGCAATAAATTTTGTCTTATTTCATCTCAAAATTTAATAGATAACCCCCAAAAAAATTTATCCTACCCCCATTAGCAGCTTACCCCCTACCACCTCAAAAAAATAGGATGCAAACTGTTCCTACCCCTCCCACTCATGTAGACGCTGAGGAGGAGATATACTCGATTATTTTTATAGTATGAATCTTAAAAGTATTAATTAAACGGTTTATATCGTGTCAGGGCTCAGTATTTTTTTTTATGATGTTCAATTTATAAAGGTTTTTGTGGTCAATTTCGGTCTAATTTATGGTTCAATTTAGACAATGGTTAAAAGTTGTTTGGTATATACATGTAAAAGAAAAAATTTTTTTATATCTGCCAGATAATAGGGGCGCATTTTTTTCAAATGAATAGAAAAGTTTTTCATGGTATTAAAAAGTTTGTTCTCAGAGTATGTCGAAAGGTTTTTGTTTGGATCAATAGAATTTTTTTTTTATAAATATTTTTACAAAAAAATGGAAAGTTTTGTTTTCTTAATGTTATTAAAAATTGTTTGTCGTGCGTAATCTGTTTTTGTAACCTGATGACTGTTTTAATGAATAAGAAGATTTTTATGATATTAGTAAAGGTTGGTGAATAAATTTTTGTTTTAAATTTTTGTCTGGCCAGTCCAGGGTAGATGGTAGTTTTTATTTTTAAAAAAAAAGAAATTTTTTTTTGAAATTGCCATTATGTTTATAAGTCAATTAGAGAAGACATGAATAAGGATTGGGGGATTCGCCTGATTGACCTAATATTTGAATAGAAAAGTTTTATTTTTGTGTTAGTAATAAAGTTTTTGTTTGGTCATGTTTATGTTTTGATTATTCACATTGATAAAAAGTTTTTTTTCAATCGGCAGTGTCTGCCAGTTGTCATTTTTTTTATCTGGTTTTATGTTGTAGCCGGACATAAAAGTATATATTTGTTGGAAAGAAAACACAGTATCAATTTAGTAAATGACTTTTTATCATGGTGCTTCATAATATATATTGAAAAGAGAATCTTAAACATTTGGTAAAAAAATTTTTTGTTAAATATTTTGTTCTCCCAGCTCTTCTGTTGTATATCCCCCCCCCCTAACTTATTTTTATTGGAAGTTGCCTCTAATTTTGTAATTAATGAAGGAATGAATAATACTGACCTGGGGATCCACATGACTGTGTTAGTTGTTTTTGTGGATAAAATATTTTTCCTTTTTTTTTGTGGTATAAATATCATTAATTTTTTTTACGGTCACTTATGATAATTTATTCTCTTTTATATTTTTGTTTGTATTTCACTTATGTATTTTAATAATTTAAAAAAAAAATATATAATAATAATTTAAATAAATTGGCAAAATCACATATAAAACATATTCTCCATTATCAGACTCTTGTCAAGTTAATTATCAAGCCAATGCTGAAGTTTATCGTTTACTCAACCTTTCGGAGAAATGACAACCAAGCCCGATTACGATGGATGACGTCAATGTAGACAAATATAGAACAAATCTCTTTACGCTAAAAATATGATATGATGAGAATTCGTATTAGCCAATTATTGTCTTAACTATTTGCACGAAGATGTCCATATAGCATACCTTTGTAGACCATAAACATTCATTATTCTCTTATCAGCAATAATTAAGAGGCGTAATTATATAAATTTGGATTAAAAGTAGACAACGGGATATCAGATATTCTTCCTATGAACATAATATCAAGAAAAATTCTCTTATTATAATAATCCACAAAGTTCCGCGATACTTACATCCAGATAATTCTAATTATATATCACGAGATTCTACATGATTCACATTATTACATCAAAAATTTTGTAGTAGTATGCAATTATTTTTTTTAATGTACAGCCATTGGCCCATAAAGGGGTGGCATGTCGTAAATTATAATATTTTTTTTGTATTTGAAATGTCAATCATTTCAACTTTGATTTTTGTGATATTTTTTTTTTATCCTTTTGATGGAAAATGATTTTTATCACTCATTAATTTTTTTTTATGAAAAAATTATTGAAATTCATTATTAATTTTTTTATGTTGAAATTTATAAACCATTTTTTGATGATTAATTCTTTTATGTTTATGTGTTTAAAATAAAAGGTTACGATTTAAAATTCCACAAGTATTTAGTTGTTATCACATTTTTAGCTTTGAGTAATTTTGATAGTAGGAAGGATTGACGTTCGGGTCTTCCGATTTTTGATTTTCAGTTGAGTTTTTCTGCTTTATTTTGTTAGCGTTTTCTGCTTAATTTTGATAGTTATTTTTATTTTGTTTTTTTTTTGTCATTTCTGATTTTTATTAATTTTTACATATATAATATAACCTATTCGTGATAAAAACTCTGTAATATTCTGTCACCTTAGACTATTTATAACTAATTACTTAAGACCTTTAAAAATATAGATATAGAGTCTCTTACCTACGACATAAATATAATATAATAATTTATTTTTTTTACTACCAATTGTTTAAAATTTACCATCACATCAATCTAATTCCGTTTATCCTTTTTTTCATTACCTCATCAACAAAGAAATCAATGACTACTTCAAACCAAGTATGGCTTATAAAAAAAACGTTATTTCATCGTGCATTTTTAATTTAGCTTAAATTATTCAAAGAAGAGCTTCTAAAGCTTCAACAAATTGCTACATACCCATATGTTAAAAATATTTTGAATAATGAAATTCAAAAATTAGCACAGCAAATACCAGCTCAAAATAATTTCGTAAACTATAAAACTCAACCATCAACAACTAAAATTCTTAATTATGGTTTAAATTATTGAATTTTACAGTAATCATATATAATTTAGGTTGGGATCAAAATAATGATTATTTAGAAATATTCTTAACTCTTAATGGAATACAATCTATATCCCAAAATAACATTGATGCCCAATATGGTGAAAGGTAATAATTATATAATTAATCATTAATGATGAAAATGATAGATCTGTTGAAGTTGTTGTTAATGAACTTGGTGGCAAAAATTATTCTTTTTTGATTAATAACCTTTGTGAAATAATAGATCCAGAATACAGCAAATTTAAAGTTTTTAAAATAATTTTTAAGAAATTTTATTTTTGAATTATAGATAAAAACAGACCTATTAGTTATACACCTAAAAAAGAAATCTAAAGGAAAACATTGGCCTTGTGTTACTGAAAATGAAAAGAAACAAAAAGAATTAAAGGACTCAAAATTGTATATTATAAAAATATTTTTTTGAAATTATTTCTATTATTTTAGTAAACCTTCACTTGATAAAGATAATTCTAATCCTGAAAAAGCTTTGATGGACCTGATGAAGAAAATGTATGATGACGGAGATGATGAAATGAAAAGAACTATTCAAAAATCTTGGCATGAGTCTCAGGAGAAGCAATCTAAAGGAATGTTTTAATAACTATTAAATTTGATTCTTGTTTTTAATTACAATATTATTAAAGGTTGTTAATTTGTTAAATAAAAATAAATTGCTATTGAAATATTTGATGCTTTAAAAATAAATAAAGTTGATTTATTTAATGAATATTATGATGTTTTAAGTTCATGGGTTTTTAATTTACTCCATATTTAATTTGTCTTTAAAACAATAAACTAGGGCTGTGCTGATTCACAACAGATATTTTTCCAAAAATATTAAAACCTGGTAAGTCACTAGGGGAAATTTATAATATTATTTTTTATTAAAAAATATACGATTGGTGTATTTTACTGTGGCCATTAGTTGAAGATTTTTTAATTAATAAATTTTAATTTAACATATAATAAAATATCTTTTTCCCCTTTTAATGGATTACATAAATTTTACCAAGATCATAATCTCATATACAAGAACCATGGCTTTTTAAAAAGATCATGAGCTTCTTATTAATCACACATTTTGTTATAATAGCATGAAATTGGAGAAAAATGCACTATTCTGATATTATTTAAATTTAGAGGAAAAAAAGTAAGTTATAAATTTTGCATTAAATTAGACAAAGTTTAATAATCTTGAAAAGAATTATATAAATGTTAAAAATATGTTTTTGGCCTTAAAGCCCTTTTATTTTGTGAGATAATATAAGGTGTTTTCTTTCAATCTTTTTTTTATAATGCTTTTTGGGCTGTAAGATATAGTAGTGATCTGCATCTGGCCTAATTTTTCAAGCCTAGCCAGGCCCAAAAATTTTTTATAAAGTTTTGCCCGGGCTGCTCCGAACCTGATTTGCCAGCCCGGCCCAAATTTGTTAAATATAGAAATTAATTTTTATAATTACTCAAAATAAACGATATATGTTATATGGTGTCTACTTTCTATAAATAAAATCACATATTTTTATTTTACGTGAAAAATTCAACATAAAATTGATAATTTTAGATATATTTTAAAAAAATTTTAAGGCCTGAATTTTCTTAAAAAATATTAGGCACTACTTGGCCCAAAGCCCGTTCAGGTCGGGTATAGGCTGGGCCTACTTTTGCAGATTATAATGTTGTTAAACAGCTCCATTTAGTTGATTTTAAAAAAGGACTAAATCAAAATTTATCCAATATTATTACCTAAGCCTTGAAATTTTGCCAATAGAAATCCAAACCTTTCTGCCATATGTGTTTTAATTTTTTAAACATTTCAACAAATAAATTATATTTTAGTTCCTGTCATTAATTTATTATTATTAAATAAAAAAAACTGATTATATATAAAAAAACAAAAGAAATAGAAAATATTGGCCCTATTCAATATTTTTAGTAAACGCTAAATATTGGTGCTGATCCGATATTTAATATAGGCACAATATATTGAGATTTAAAATAGCTGATTCATATATGATATTTTTCAATGCTTCAAATTCAATTTTTTTATATTGTTAAATGAAATCTTACACGTTTTTTTCAAATATGGTCTATCCATTTTTTTTCTTTATATTTTGGGATATACAATGGGTTATTATTTTTTTTGTTAACATTTCTGGGAATTGTTTGAAATTGAAAGAAATGTTTATTAAGGATAAAATGGATTTAAAATATTGAATAAATAGGTATCTCAAAACCAAGGAAAGTATCCAAGCTTCTCTTTCTATTGGATCTCTGTTCTTAAATTTGTCATATTTTTATAATAATTTTTTGATAACTAATAAAAAATGGAATTTTTCTTGGAAATGGGGGTAATGTCCTCTTAGATATTAGCCTGTTTTCTTAAATATAATTTTGGCTTAATATAAATATCACTTTAAACATCGTGAAATTACGCGTGACACGATGGCTTCCGGTGTGTGTGCTTTTAAATTATTAGGCGTGATGGGCCTTCCCAAAATTTTTACCGGGCGTGAATCTCTAATTTTATTTTTAAAATTGTTTTTTATGAATATTAATTTTCAATTTTATAATTATAATATATTTTCTAAATTAATTTAGTTTTTTTTAAAAGGAATAATTTTTGAAAACAATAAAAACTTCCTCATTTTATAAACAAAATTTTTTTTCCTGTCTTATTAAATTTACATTGAATGAAAAATAATAAATCTCTCAACTCTCGTTCGGCAATGAAAATTTGCTAATAAATAAATTTAATTTAAATATGTTTTATTTTCATTTTCTTTACTAAAATATTTATCAATATTCAAAGAATACTAGGATAATCCTAGCGTAGATTCTCTTCTTACATGAAGTTTATCTATGAAACAAAAATTAGTAAAATTTTGTCAACCTGATATACAATAACAATGAAAACCCTAAAAAACAGGACAACATTTTAAAGGAGAGATTTATTATGCAGCCATTTTATAAGGTAGTCAATTCTAAATCCGAATTTCAAAAGTCTTAATTTTTAATAGACAAAGACAGAATGCGAAATGATATAAAATTGGATGATATGCATAAGTTAATGCCAACTATCATTTATAACTTTTGTAATTCATCCTGCAAGCATAAAAACCATATATTCTAAATGAAACATTTAGAGAATTTCTATATTATTTTGACAAGCATCAACATCTACTAATGCAAGTTGTGAAGATGAACCTATGCTCATAAAACAAGTAATCAATATTTCGAAGTTTTGGAAGCAGGAAAATTCATTTCTTTTTTTGAGAAAGCTGTTAAATTTAGTCAGCCCCGGCCAGTTCGGCTTTTATCGAAAGGTTATATTCTATAAGAGGAAAGGCGAACACCAGAATTGTTAAACACTACATTTAAAAGTAGCGAACTACCGCTATCGCTATTTGTCAAAAATGTAGCGCGCTACCACTATTGCTACTCATCAAAAAAAACTAGCGGCCATTAGCTTCTATTTTTTAAAAGTAGCTTTCGCTTCTTTTTAAGATACTTTTTATAAAGTAAATTTAGAAACAAATTTGTTTTAATTTTTGCGTTTAAAAAACGCGTCAATGAGATTTTCTATTATATTATCTGTTAAGGTTGGCAGGGAGAAAAACAAAATTAAGAAAGTATTTTAAAAATTTTATTTTATTTTTTCATTTAAAAAAATATTTAACTAAAAATGTAGTCAATTTTCATCCTTATATAGCTTATAAAAATCAATTTAATAGTTTACCATTTTAAAACTATTAAGTTAATATTATACAATCAGTCCTTTAGTTAATATAAAGAATAAAAAAATCAATCCGTAAGGTTAATATTAAGTTAATAGATAGCGAAAAAATAATAAAAAAATCAATAAGGATATCTTAGCATACCACCCTTTAAGAAATAAACTCCGCTTAAGTTCTTCTTGGACGTTATTCTTTTATGTTCAAAATATAATCTTGGTATCGTGTGGATAATGTTATATTTCGACTAGGCCACGTAACGTCAGCTGTACAATCTTTTTCTTGGCAATAACATTTCTCCTTTTATAAAATGTAATCGTTGGTGAAGTGTTTTGATCATGCATGTGGTCTAAGTGCCTCCTTAATACACCATTTTTCGTGTGAATTTGTTATAGCATATTACTTTCTTTTTTAACTATAACGCCTTCATCCCATTTATTTACTCCAAGTTTTGTACCAAATTTTTTCTCCAATATCCATAGTTCTATTTTTTGGTAAAGTTGTGAGCAAAATGTTGTCTTTGTCTTTTTTATACTTTAATAAATCCCAATTAGTTCTCATATCATGATTGAACATAAGTTTTCTTGGTGGGATACCAGTCGTACTGTTAGGCGTGTTTCTGTATTGAATAAAAATTTTTTGATATCTATATCTATATTATTTTGTTCCATACACTTTTTCACTTGTGATTTGAAAGTTCTCACCATACTTTCAACTTACCCATGTGACTGTTAATGGTGGGCTGAAGTCTAAAAGTGTTGTATGTCATGGTCTCTACAAAATTTGTTGAACAGTTGACTTGTAAAGTTTGAGCCATTATCAGAAACTATTTGTTCTGGAATACCGAATAAGCTAATAGTTTTCATCAATTCTTTTATTGTGAATTCCGCGGTTATTGATTTCACCGGCGTGATTATAGGAAACTTACTCTACGCATCTACTATAAGCAACCAGTATTTGTTAAAAAATGGCCCAGCGTAGTCAATTTGTATTCTTTCGAATGGCTTGTCCTTAACATCCAAGGATGCTGTGTGTTAATGGGATTATCAGCCCAAATGTTAGATGATTTGCATTCTTTCATTTCATTATCAATATCATTGTTAATTCTAGGCCACCAAAGGTATTTTCTAGCTAAATGTTTAGTTTTGCCGGCACCCATTTATTTTCTTTAAATAGACAATTTCCCATAATACAAATTCCGTCACCATATTGTTATATGTTTCATTTTTTGTCGTGTCACCGTTTCTAATATCGTTTATTATTTCCATTAATTCTCTGTCGTTAGAAGTTTCTTTTCGATCATTTTAAAGTTAATTGGTACGTCCCATAAATCATTATTTTCTTTTATAACATCCACAATGTGTATTTCTTCTTCTAAAGGTGTTAAAGGCAATCTAGAGAAACAATCTGGCACCGTGTTGTGTTTACCCGCTCTATGTCTTATTTTGAAGTCATAAGCTTCTATAACAATGTTCCACTTCTGCAACCTCATCGACATGGATGAGTTTTCTTTTAAACCTTTGGAAAAAATGTAGATCAAAGGCTTGTGATCAGTGATGATTGTAAATTTTGTTTCAATTAGATATTCTTGAAATCTTTTCATTGCTAAAATAATCGCTAACTCCTCGCGTTCGATGTTAGTGTAATTTCTTTCGGATTTTAGTTAGGATCTTGAGGCAAAAGCTATCGGCTTTTCTTTGCCGTCCCCTTCTATATGAAATAAAATAGCTAGCTCCTAAGCCACGTTTAGATGCATCAGCGGCTATACCTATGGGTAAATTAAGATTGAAAAAGTTAAACATAGGAGGCTGACTGATTAGAGTTTTTAATTTTTTATAGAATTCTTGATGTTCGGTATCCCAATACCATTTATCTTTGTTGATTATTTTACACAGTGGATCTGCCAGATCTGCAACCGCTTTAAAAATCCAATTCGAATATCCTTAGATATTACAACAACACTACAAGAAAATGGCCAGAT